GTTAATAAGCAATTTTAAAGTTCTTTATGTGGTTGTGTAGAGAAAAGACGGCGCTACAACATTGTTATCTCGGATTTTCGAAATTTTGGGATTTTGACCCCCAAAAATCAAAAAATTGATTTTTTTTAGAAAAACTCAAAAAAATTCTAAAAAGAAAAATTCGAATTTCGAAAAAAAACGGAATATATGTGATAGTCCCTGCGCTCTTCCATATACATACCGAATTTTAGATCGATACCTCTTTTTTTGGCCAAGTTATAGCGGAAAAACTGTTATAAATTGATGACGTCAAATTTTCGAACTCAATTTTTAGCAATTCTAGACCTCGTAGCGCAAAACAGAGACCAACATTGAACTCCCCGTGACGAGCTGCATCGAATCTATACCCATTTTATGCAAAAATATCAACTTTGAAATTTCGCCTAATTTGACCTGACCTTGACCTGACCTTGACCTGACCTTGACCAAAACGTGACCTAAGCTGGCCCTAAAGTCTGTCTGACCCACATAATCGCATTTGTCATGTAAAATGAACCATAAAACATGTATCACACGACACTTTCATATTGTGACCCCCCCCCCCCCCCCCAGTGACCTGACCTCTGTGACCTGACCTGGTATCAGTGACCTCAAATAGCAAAATATGTGTTTGAAGAACATTTCCCCATCGATGATTTTCAATGAAATGCATTTTACACGATTTTACAACGCATTTCTTGAAATGCCTGTAAACGGTGAAAATTCGACCTTTGACCTGACCTGTGACGTCATCGGTTTGACCGAGGTCAATGAAATTTGGTCACAAGGCAGTTCCCCGTTGGGGCTATCCAACACCGTTTACCGCTTGTCGCTATGTTGCGTGGTTCTCGAGATCTGAGGGAGGGGGGGCCAAAATGCCCCCCCCCCCCATCAGACCGCGTTGCTCGGCAGACCCCATCTGGGCGCAGGTTAGAGGAGGCCCTGATTTTTTTGCCATAATTAGGACTCATCCAAGCATTACGTGCTCCTGCTCGAGCGAAATTTTTGTCGTGCTGCCATATTGAAGGATTTTTTCAGAAGAATGCAGACACTTGGGTAACACCGCCCACTTGGGAAACTTGGTATTTAATAGCACATTGTGACACCTATAATCCAGGAGTGGCGCATTTCAAATAAAGAAAGAACGTTGTTGCTATGTTTTACTTTTAGAAGATAATGAAAAATTTCGAGAAAACGAAATTCTGGGACTTTATACCACATAGTACCAGGGATATAATAAAAAATCCATTGGATTTTTTTGTATATACTAAAGCGCCTCGAAATTTACAATAAGAACAACTTAACCCTCGCCGGCCGAGGGGGGGGGGCGGGTGCCGCCCCCCCCCCCCATAGGGTTTTTTTCGCGATAGCTCCGAACACGCTGGCGATGGAGAGCTGAAACTTGGCATACCTGACCTTTGATCCAAGCCGGATCTTTTGACACCAACCGCATTTTTGGGTCAGGTCAGGTCACTGACCTATGACGTCATAAGTGAACCTCTGCACGGTCTTCAGATGTCGCAACTTCGCAACGCCCTCACTGCCAGAGGAGATGTCACAGGGAAATGAAACTTGCAGGATCTAGTATCCATTATGAGTCCCACAACTTGTATATCTCGGATTTTTCCTAAAGGTCATATGAGGTCAGGTCATTTTCGTGACCTCACCATTATAAGTCAATGGGGAAAAATTCAAACTGCTATTCTGGCGCCGGGAACGATCTCCAACTATCTCAAGCACACAGAATCGTGATTTGATGCACTCCTTGCAAGGTTAGATGCGTCACTTTTGCAATGTTGACCTTGCGTGACGTCATTTATGACGTCATCAAGGTCAAATTAGTTTTTCGTCAATAACTCTTGATCAAATTGAGCTAGCGAGTCGGGAAAGGCACCAATGGACTCAGGAAGGCCTGCCGAATCGAATGATATGCGACATGACCTCTTTCGACCAACTTCGTGACCTGGGGGTGCTGACCTGACCTTGACCTGAGGTCAACACCCCAAGTTGACCTGACCCGGACAAAAAGTATATCATTCGACGCGCCTGAGCGAGGCGAACACGATGCTGCCAAAATCGGCGCTCTGCGGCCGTTTTTTGCGAAGTTATTCACGAAAAACTGAACCGTACCCTGAGGCACTTGACCTGACCTCAGAGGTCACCGGATGACCTAGGACCTTAAAATCGGGTACCAATCTCTGCGTCTCGTAACGGCGCACACGCTCGTTTTTTTCCGCGACGCGCTAGCTCCACCAGGGGCGAAACGGCGAGGGGGGGTCGTACCCGCCCCCCCCCCTCGGCCGGCGCGTATGTAGAAAACCAATAGGTCCGGCGAGGGTTAAGTCCAGCAATCTCCAAATTTCGTCGCTTGCTGAGCTCGGGCGGTGTTACCCAACGGTCGGTGTTAACCCGAAAATGTAGGCATTTACTAAATGTGAAATAATACAATTATGAACATAGACGCGGGAACCATGGGGGCAATGGGGGCAAGCTGCCCCCACAACTTGAAGGCTGTGGGCAAGGCTGTGGGGGTGACGCCCCCACAACTTGAAGGCGTGGGGGCGACGCCGCCCGCACAACTCTTTACTGAATATGTTCGCTAAATATTTTGTTTTTGTTTAAGCTTTAAAATGTAATTTTGGTAATTTTCAAAATGAAGTGGCCCAAATGCGAACTAATAAAAATGGAGTAGTTTGATTTTGGGGACCCAAGCTGCCCTCCCCTCCACGGTCGGATAAAATGGAATCAAGGCAAAAATAGGTGAGCCACTGTGGGTGGGCCGAGGAAATTTACTTAGCGCAAGTCTGATATGGTGGCATTCCTCTCATTTCTTAAAAAGTGACCATCCCACCTAACGTTAGTTTTGAGTTGAGATAGCTTAATTGGGGTCCCTAGCCTGCAATTACCGATTTGGGCACTGACAACGAGAACTGTTTTAATTCGGAAATATTAAATTTCGAAGTCTGCAGTTTTCGAATTTTAAAGGGCTAATGCATTTGAATGCCTCCTTCGACAGCGCAGAGTTGAAGTCCGCAGTAATTTTAATATTTTTAACGTTTGTTTTATTTATTTGATTACGTTATTCGGCATTTCGCGAAATGAATAGCCTATATCCGAAGAGAAAATTTTATTTGGGGTACCTTGGTTTTGTCCCCGGAATCAGTCTCCGCCACAGCCATGACCCTTGCCCCCACAACTTCAAACTAGTTCTCGCGTCCCTGATTATGAACGCCTTACGACACTACTTGATCTTTTGACGCCAACCGCATTTTCGGGTCAGGTCAGGTCACTGATCTTTGACGTTATAAGTGAACCTCTGCACGGTCTTATGTCGCAACTCGCAACTTCGCAACGCCCTCACTGCCAGAGGATCTTTCACAGGGAAATGAAACTTGCAGGATCTAGTATCCATTAAGTCTCACAACGTGTATATCTCGGATTTTTCCTAAAGGTCATATGAGGTCAGGTCATTTTCGTGACCTCACCATTAATAAGTCAATGCCCCATTGCAATGGGGAGAAATGAAAACTGCTGTTCTGGCTCCGGGAATAATCTCCAACTATCTCAAGCACATAGAATCGTGATTTGTTGCACTCATTGCAAAGTTAGATGCGTCACTTTTGCAATGTTGACCTTGCATGACGTCATTTATGAAGCCATCAAGGTCAGATTAATTTTTTTGTCAATAACTCCCGATCAAATTGAGCTAGCGAGTTGGGAAAGCCACCAATGGGCTCAGGAAGACCTGCCGAATCGAATGATATGCGACATGACCTCTTTCGACCAGCTTCGTGACCTGGGGGCGCTGACCTGGCCGTGACCTGAGGTCAACACCCTAAGGTGACCTGACCCAAACAAAAAGTATATCATTCGACGCGCCTGAGCGAGACGAACACGATGCTGCCAAAATCACGGCTCTGCGGCCGTTTTTTGCGAAGTTATTCATCAAAAACTGAACCGTATCTTGGGGCACTTGACCTGACCTCAGAGGTCACCGGTTGACCTAGGACCTTAAAATCGGGTACCAATCTCTGCGTCTCGTAACGGCGCACACGCTCGTTTTTTCCGCAACGCGCTAGCTCCACCAGAGCCGAAACGGCGAGGAGGGTCGTACGGGCCGTACCCCCCCCCCCCCTCGGCCGGCGCATATGTAGAAAACCAATACGTCCGGCAAGGGTTAATTTTTTTTAATCGATTGTTCTTATTTTTGGGGGTCAAAGTCCCTAAATTCGTAAAATCCGAGGTATCAGTTTTGTGGCGCCATTTTCTCTATACGACCACATAAAGAACTTCGAAATTGCTAGATAACTAGGTATATTTTGTGAGCGTTAGGTACAAGATGTCATGTTTTTTGCTCATTTTCGCTCGAACATGACCTGAGTTTGCCATCAATATCACCTAACCTAAGGTGACCTGTGACTTGAAATTTTCTGTGAAGGTGTCAAATTGATGCCCGGGAAGGTACTGAAACTTTGGCGGCGTTGAGCGCTGCCGTTTTTCGCTATTCAACAAAAACCACAGGGGGGGGGGGCAAAATGCCTCCAATCAGGGCCCGGGTTAATATTCTTGTATCAAAAAGAGCATCAGGTTCGATGCAGTTAAGTCATGGGGAATCAAAGGTAGCCTTAGTGTTGCGCTACGTGATCTAAATGGCTAAAAGTTGAGTTTGAAAGCTTAACGTCACCAATTATGAGTCGTTTTTTTTTTTCGCCAGAACTTAGCCAGAAAGGAGGTATCGATATCAAATTTGGTATGGCGAAATGGTGGGGGATCGAAATGACTCTCAGTGTAGGTACTCAAGGAAGGTATTTAACCGCAGGTTGTTTCTTCATTAGACAAACACTATTCGTTAGATACATATAAGTACCATGGTAGGTAACGATCGTGTAGGTACTTACATGCCATGAACTTTAGAGTAAGAACGAACAACACTCTGTTATAGGTATTTGCAACATTTAGCAACTTATAAGAGAAACAATGCATACGGTTACAGGTAAAGGTACCTAGTTGGGTCTTTATTGTTGAACAGCTGACAGTTCATCGCATAATAATGGAACAATCATTATATCGTAACACCATGCCAGGCTGCTAATGCTACCGGACACGTTTTGACTGCTCGTATACCATGCGCAATACCGAATATGGTATATCCCAGCTTGCACCTTCGGCCTTTGCGTGGATTCTCGTGAAACGAATCACAAACTGGTGCTGAAGTTGACAATTACACTGAAAGAGGGACAGATTTTCAGCTACTTTAATGCTTAATTCTGAGACCGTTCACTATGAGCGTACCTATACTCGTATGCTGTGTGTACAGACTTAGATGTCAATTGAATAGACCACTAAAATCACCGATGCTCTCTTCATAGTCAATGATATAGTAGGTACTGCACGAACAGAAACAGTGTAGGCAACAGGCCACGCAGTATACTGAGGGACTACCCTATCACAGGGATCTGGAACGTTCGTCGTTCGAACATCTTAGCTCACTGCACTGACAGATGCTGTCGCCCAAGCAGCTGCACACTCCACAACTAAGACGCGATTGAACCTCGGATGGAGCAGGAAAAGATCATAGACAGAAACAGGAAAAGTGCGACCACGATAGCAACGGCGCCAAAAAGTTTGCTGTTCTCGTCAATGAAGTCGACCATCTTCTGGTAACATCCGTCAGTGTTGGCCCCGCATGAGTCCGGTTTGGGGATGCCCCTAGCGTTGTAGTCTGCCGGTCCATTGACTCCACAACACTCGAACTGAAACAGGGCGACGAAGGTTAGTGAGAGGCACATCCACAGGACGATCCGGTAGATCGACTGGCTGCATAGTATGCAGGACGGAGGAGGGGAGGGGATGGAGGGGGATGGAGCGGACAGGAGTGGACCCGACGGACAAACAGACAGACGGACGGACGGACGGAGAAACAGACAGACAAACAGATGAAGCATATTAGGTAGGTAGCGGGCGGTATTTACATCTACGTACTTTCTTGTATACCGGCATATATCACTCATAGGTAGGTTAGTATTCACCTTTAAAAAACCAGCCATCATACCTACATGTTAAAAGAAGGTAGATATGTTACTGCCTAGTGCCTACATATGGTTACCTTTTAGCCCTTTCGTGAAACCTATACGACGACAGCACTCTTCATTTTAACTTACGCCTTCCTGCACATCATCCCAGGCGTTCTTGGTGTCGCTGTCTTTTGCGTAGTTGTTCAGCGAATCGTTGAGAATGTCCTCGAGGCCTTCAGTGATGGCATCGCCGCCGAGCACGAAGCCGGCCACGGCGCCGGCAGCGGTCAGCACAAAGAGCACCAGCACCAGGCCGAAGAACGTGCCCAGCATGCACCGGCTCTCCTGCAGACAGAGTTACAGGTCAGAGATCACACACACTCGCCAGAGGGGTCACTCTCCACAGTCAAGGATGGAGTCCGAAATATAGGTAGGCTACCTCAAACCCAGATCCGACGATGCATGTCCTCACCTGGTAGACGTCACCAGCGGGCATTGTGATTCAACATTTTGGTACCCTTACGCAACAATTACGGTTAATTTGAATAATGTTTGCAGTATCTGACGCCTTCCGATGACATAGTTTCGTCCACACATGTGCATCAAGCTCATTCTTTATTACACTTTGATAGGTAAATTCCGAAAATGGCCAAAAGCATAAACATATCGTCCCAAAACGCTGCACTACGCAACGCGGCTTTGTTGATCTTCGGTGCCTGATAGTGGGCACGTCTTATCGTCCTAACTTGTAGGCAGGCTGAGCCTTACCGCGCGCCCACAGCTCAAACATCGATAGCAGGACGGCCTCTGCCCGTCCTGCTACTTATGTGTGCCTCTGCACCGTGGCACACACTTGACAGAGCTTCTACCGCGGGTACCTAAAGCTCGCGTCGCATGCACCGTTAGAAACTATCAGTAGCATTACGCTTACTTGGCTTACTTTATTGTCGTTTAATTTAGCATCTTTTTCTATACCTATGCGTGGATCTTTATTTTAAGTTGCAATGTGAAGCAATAAAGTTGATAGATAATTTAAAGATCGCGGATTTCGATACAATGCATAAAATTCCTTCAAATCATCACCTAATAAAAACCAGTATAGCGCCTTTTGGGGCGACTAACGGAGCGAGCGAGAGGGTGAGCCTTGCACGTGCGAAATTTCGAGGGGGTACCTCCAACTGACTTGTGCACGGCACCCTACTAACCGGTCTCTAGCGATGTGCCAAATTTGAGCACAATCGGCCCAGCCGTTCTCGAGATCTGGAAGCGGCACCCTGCACGTGCGCACATGCAGAATGGGTCCCAACTGACTTGTGCACGGCACCCTACTAACTGGTCCCTAACCGTGTACCAAATTTGAGCGCCATCGGTCCAGCCGTTCTCGAGATCTGGAAACGCCCCCTGCACGTGCGCACGTGCAGCAGCACCCCAACTCTGGCACATGGATATGCAGTGCCTAGTGGGTGCCTACCTACATGCCAACTTTCAGCGCAATCGGCCACGTAGTTACCGAGATATTGCAACAATTACAAAACTGACACCTCTTCGTTTTGCGCGTGGCACGTGCATAAGGGGTCACCCACATGCATCGGGAATAGTCCAATACTTGGTAGAAGGAATGAAGCTACCCTACAAAAATTACCCCGTGTAAATCGGTCAAGTGGTTGCTGAGATATAAGCCTCGCAAAAGCGTCCGCACGGCCGGCGCTCATACTCAGAAATTTCCGCTAACCCGCGCCCTGCTGGGGGGGTGTTTGAACACCCCTCTTGTGGTTTTTCGCGAATATCTCAAAAACGGCGGCGCTCCGCGCCGCCGTTTTTGGTACACCTTATCATACATCAATTCTACACATGTTGTGAAAATTTCAGACCAAGGTCATTCAAGGTCAGGTCACCAGGTCACTTGAAGTGACCTAACCTCATAAAAAGTTTCCATGTCTGTCATAGCTACACCGAGTGACCGATCGCTTTGAACCTTTCAGAGATTGCTAAGAGCAATAGCATGTACAAAATGTATATCTCAGAATTTTGATATCGATGACCTAAGGTCAGGTCAATTTTGCGACCTTATAAGTCAATGGGAGAAAATTGAAATGCGCCTCTTTTGGACGAGACATTATAAACACTCCCAAACACTGAATTACACGTGGTTTAGACACACTGAACATGGAAATGGTGTCCGTGACCCCCTGTTTATGCCCTGAGGTCATCTTAGGTCACGAATGGTATCTAACAGTTTTTCGCAAATAAGTTTTGATAAAGGCATGCTAGAGCGATGAAAACGCCTTAGATGTGTTCAGCTCGACGATACGGATCGACTGATATGCAACATGACCCTTTCCGGTCAGGTCATGACCTTGACCTGAGGTCAAATTTTCAAGTTGACCTTTCAAGGTCAAGTTATAGTTCATTCGATGCGTCTTGACGAGAGGAGCACGATGCCGGTAAAAGTAAGCTCGTAAAAGACTTGGGTCAAACGTTATTGCAGAAAAACTGTTTCCGAAAAAATGGGCTATTTTTGCAGTTTTTGCCCCCTGCAGGCAAAACCGTTGATGTTAGGTCAAATCTGAGAGAATTACTCAGAAAGGGCGTTAATAGGGCTATCGAATGCGCTTTTCCGCGGCGCTGTAGCTCTATTGGTTCCCGAGTTATGCGTTGGCTTCTTGGAAATTGTCGACATTCGACCTGGAAATCGGCAAAATTTTGCCTTCAATGACCTCTGGTGACTTGACCTTTGACCTGACCAAAAAATTGACCGAAGTGATTTCCTCATTTTTTTACGCTCTTTCGAACGCCGCCTTCCGCGTATCGCTACGTGGCCCAGGAGCCGAGTTACAAGGGGGGGTGTTCAAACACCCCCCCCCCCCCCAGCAGGGCGTGGAAATCCAGGACCCCCAGCCGGGCGCGGGCTAATCTAAGGAAAGACTACGCTCGCTTCGCTCGCTCCGTAATGAAAATATTTCACATATCGATAACAACTGCGGCTCAACGGAAAGAATCCATTTTAATGCTACATATGAACCATCCCTGGGTATGCAATGTCCTACCCCTTCGGTTGAAACTTAAACGGACCACCCATGCAGGCTTAGTGTTACCTTCATGTGCAGCATTGAAATTAGAGCCTCCGATAGCGATTGGGCGTCAAATGTCTCGGCACAACGCTCAATGATATGTAACACGAAAATGCCAATGTCAGTGGCTCGAATCATTTTGACCATTAGACTGCGATATACGTTGAGATATGCGACTGCATTCCTGTGACTGAGACAGGTAAGGAGAGGGCCGCTATATGGCCTACCCGAAGCTGACATTGAAAATTCAAAAGCCCTACAGCACTTTCCCATGAGGGGGCACCCGGCCAGCACAGTTACCTTGAAGGCGCCGCAGCAGCCAAAGAAGCTGACGACCACGATGAGGCTGCCGACGGCGATCATCACGACGGCTGTGCCAGAGAGCAGGTCGCTGTCGATGAAGTAGCCCAGCGTGGCGCCATCGTTGGACAGCGCGTAGGCGCCGACGCCGATCAGCCCGCAGCCGCCCAGGAAGATGGCCAGCGTCACCAGGCCGAACAGGTACTTGATGATGCTTTCGCAGCAGTTCATGGTGCGGCTGGCTGGAGGTGCGGGTGGGGTGGTCCGGTGCGGCGCAGCAGGGCGCGACTGCAGTCACCACCGGGGCCGACGCGGACCGACGGCGGCGAGCGCGCTATCTTATCGCATGCCTGTTTGCCCGCCGCGCCGGCCGAGGTTTTGTGTGCGCGGAGCGTGGGCTCGAGAACACGTCAGGTTGTGCGTCATGTGGGTCTCGAGGAGGGAGACGCGTCATAGGTCACGACCGAGGTGGGTCGCCCGGAACTTGGCTGATAGTGGCGCGTGGTGAAACACGCCACTTCGAGGGCCGTCTTACTCAGTCGATACCGCAAGGCAACGACTTGAACAACTAGCTAATCTCCTTAGTGCTTTTTTTTAGAACGGAGCTGAAAACGACGCTTAGGTGGATGTCTGACAAGTGAAGAAACACGAAATTGGATGTCATGTTGCGCTGGTGTTGAATAGGTATAATTGAATAGGTATAACGCATACCTATAATGTAGGTATGCGTACCACTCATTACACAGGCACGTGTACGGTGGGGTATACGCATCGGTACGCACACTCATATGTTTGCTGTCTTTTTGTGCATTGAGAAGTGGCAAAGAAACAACTGTTTTACGTCATGCTTGCAGAAGCTCGAAGATAAGTTCTCGGTAATGGAACAGGCGCCTGTCTCGTAGGTATATTCGGGAGGCAGTGGGGTATATCGGACAGACAGTTCGGTGCCGTTTAATCCAGTGTGTGTCGTTTGATTATGTTTGCAGGTGTTAGTTTGATCCTCGTTTCTATACCTATTCAGGCAGCTGGAACTAAGCGGTCGCGAGAAACACGCTAAACCGGAGGGACCGTGTCTGTGATACCTACCTGCGATAATTAAACTTTCCACTGAAATTATTACCGATGAACCGGGCGTGGGCCGAAAGGCTAGTGATGGGTCATTCGCGACAATTACTGCTTGGTACTTAGTGAGACACCAGGGCCCACAGGCACCCACTTATTCATTCGGATTGCGTATAGGATGTCAAAAACCTTTTTGTCAATTGTATTCGGTGGAGTTCCCGGTATCCGCGAAGTTTGGATGCAATTCATACCTCTTTAAGTCTTTATTGTGCCCACATGTTTACATTTTCACAGCAGCATGAGCATTAAGATATACATTCTCCGCTTTTGTTGCAATATGTTTTTCCTCACAACTCCGGAAACGAAGCTGTCACATGTCCATTGTTGTAAAAACAAGAGAATACTATTGTACGCATTCAACCAGTGCAAAACAATTGTTATTTCGGCTTACTGATTCACTGCGGTAGCCGGTAGAATATGTTACTGCTACGAAAATCAACTCAGAAGAGAAACCCGCAGCAAAGCATCAATAAGTTAATAGCTCGTGGACGGGGCACTGTATCCACTGGACGGGGCATTATATCCACTGGACGGGGCACTATATCCACTGGAGGGGGCACTGTAACCACTAGACGGGGCACTGTATCCACTGGACGGGGCACTGTAGCCGCCAGACGGGGCACTGTAGCCGCCGGACGGGGCACTGTAGCCGCTGGACGGGGCACTGTAGCCGCTGGACGGGGCACTGTAGCCGCTGGACGGGGCGTAGCCGCTGGACGGGGCACTGTATCCGCCACTCAGTCCCCCGCCGTGCCCGCCGCCGCCCGAGGACGAGCCTTTGACGATGCGCGGCGCGGAGAATGTACGGGTGGAGATGGTGCCCCCGTTGTAGCCGCGCCCGCGGAACAGCGCGCTGCCGCTGACGTACGTCGGACGCCGCAGCGGCGCGTAGATGATGCTGTAGTCGCGCGCCGGGCCGTAGCCGCCGGCGCCGGCGCCGCCCGCGCCGCCGCTGCCGTATCCGGCACTGACGATACCGCCGCCGCCTCCCAGACTATACCTGGTCACGGCCCCGCCGCCGTACCCGCCGGCACTGCCGCCACCGTATCCGCCGCCGCTTCCACCGCTGCTGTATCCTCGGCTTCCACCGCTGCTGTATCCTCCGTTTCCTCCGCTGCTGTATCCGCCGCCGCCGCCTCCGCTGCTGTGGCTGAGGCCGAAGCCGCTCACCTCACCGCCGAGCCCCTGCGGCGCTCCGTAGCGTCCGTCGCCACGGCACGCCGTCACCAGGAGGGTCAAAGCCAAGGTCTGCAGGACATACCGTGAGCGTCAGAGGGGTCACCGTCCATAGTCCACCAGTGGGACAGGACACGGCGTGAATTATAACGGAACGATCAGTGAACTTCCGTGAAAGAGTGCAGCGGTGTTACCGGTCGTTTTGGAATATCTGTATGAACCCAGCGTAATGAACATTCTGCTTACGGTAAATATCGACCATAATTGAAAGTAAGACGGTAATTAATGTGGTGTTTCCAGATGAGAACAACAAACAACGTCTACTATCACATTAAAATGAGCTAAAAGACAAAACATAAGTACACATAAACGATGACTTCTTCATTATTTCGTCAGTAGTTGCAAGAAGGACAGCCGCACCCGTATCAAACCAGAGCCGTTTTGTGGTATTATATATCACTACATTCGCCCCCTCCGCGCAGCATCGCTGTGATCGGACCGTATTCGTCACTCTCTCACCCTGAAGAGAAGCATGTTGTCGGTTGCTGCGCTGCCGCTGGTGCAGTGTGCCCTGTGTCGGCTCCGCGCTCCATTATATAGGAGCGACCCTCGCCGGTCGCCGTTCGGTGACCCGCGGGGGTCAACCGAAGGCCGCCGGGCCTCCACTGGCGCCCACAGTGAAAGGTCGAGCGGCAGCGGCACCGGGCGATCCCTAATGACTCCCCCTAGAGCGGCGCGGGATGACTCGGCAACACCGCCCGCCGGGGGAGGGGGGGGGGGGGGGGCAGTGAGGATGGTCAGTGGTCGAGGGTTTTCCGAGTCAAACGGTCGCAGGGACCGTGACCCATATACGAATTTGTGTGTGAAGTGGACAAGTAAAAAGTGATCCCTTAGAGACCATGCGTTACATCAATGGTAGACAAAAACCGGACGCACCGGCTCATCGGGGTCCCGTTCAGATTTGATGCTCATGGCTTCACAGGAATGGGATGACAGCATTCACAATACCTCTGGCATTGAGGCGTCAAGTGCGCTCTAAATCACGCTGCTGACTAATATAGACACTAACAGCATACCATTAGCCGCCTAAATGGCTGCTGAAATACGTCTGTCAAGACAGCCACAGATTCTTCTGGAAATATGATGCCCTTATACCAGCCTGTGAGACGTTTCACTAAGATTAGCGAGCACTCTCGAACTCGAAGCAGCCCGTAGCTCTCGAAGCAGCTTGGATGAATATTGTATGAACATCGAACAAAACCTTTCGAAGCTGTAACCGCCGGTATTGAAGAATTTACGTTTGCAATGTCGCAATGTGTCGTGTTTCGAGTGAACGAATGATTATGATTGCTATTTATCAGTCATAGACCTCTGAGACCTCTGTATATATACAGAGGTCTATGTATCAGTGCAAGCCTTGTCGCAATAACTGTTGAATGGCATTGATCGAACTCGGAATAAAGCAATACCAACCAGCGATAAACGATCTGCCTAAAAAGTGAGAATCCAATATAATCCAATATAAACTATTTTTATATAGGTACGATAGACGGCTGCCCAAGCCCAGTAGCCAAGTCACCGAGTTTCCATTTCGGGCATGCATCAATCAATATGTTAGTAGCACGCTTGCATCCCCTCAATATGCTAGCTGAATCGCCACGAACCGATAGCCACTGAAAGATGCTGGAGCTTAAATCTTACACTCAAATGTAGCCATCTCTCGGGCGATATATCTTATCAAAGTTTTGCTCCCCGTGGAGGGCGGAGTCTCTTGAACACTGAACGGCCACGCCACACACTTCAGGGCCGATTTTGACGAGCCCCGAGACCTCAAACACGGACAAAGTCCAACTATTCAGCCTTCAACGGCGGTGCAGTCGTCACTCCGCAGTCCGTACCATCACACCATTGACAACTGTTGCCCTCTGCACTGCATGATCTCATGGCTGGGCACTGAAGAGCAACATAATTCGCCCCGCTAAGCCTCAGGCTAGCACACTACACGTGAAAAAAATAGATGAGCTGTCGCGAAGATCACAACACCTCCAGGACAGGTCAAATTAGCATACAGATCAAATAACAAAACTCCTTTAACCCGCGCCCCACTGGGGGGGCTATTTATAGCCCCCCTCCCGTTTTTCTGCAATAACTTCCAAACCGCTTGACGGATCGACGCCAAACTTTCAGTACCTTTGGCTGCATCAATTTGACACCTTGTGTCAAAATTTGAACTTCGTAGCTACCATAGGTCGGCCAGAAATGACGTCAGAGTGACGTCATGTTCGGCCGATTTCGACGCAAAACATTGAACCACGGCAATCGCTCCCAAGAGCTCAGTTTTTAAGCTAGATCCAATTTCTTTGTAAGAAAGGACTCAGAATTGACCGCGCTATCAAACTGCTATCTCGGATTTTCAAAATTTTGAAAATTTCGAAAATTTTATATAACAAAATTCAAAATTTATATTTTTATATTTTTTTTCAAAAAGTTTTTTAATTTTCGAAAAAAAACCGGAATATATGTGACAGAACGCATGATTATGACTAACTCTAGGAAGTTTTAGCTAAATATCTTCAAAAATGGCCAAGTTATACGCATTATTGCAAAAAATTCACAATTATCAGTTTTTCAAATCAATTTTTCAGTACGTATTTGACATCGTACACCAATATAAATGGCACCATCGTGTTCCTGAGCTCAAACTGCATCCAATAGACACCTTTTTTGTTGAAAAATTTGAACTTCAAAATTTGACCTTTTTTGACCTGAAAGTGACCTGACCTAAGCTAGATTCGACTCAAAATGACCTCGAATGACACAGACGACATCAAATTCGAAATCTATGGCCTAAATGGACCATAAAACATGTGTCACGTGACCGACGCATGATATAACCCTCGCCCATGTAGGGGGGGGGTTGGTGCAACCCCCCCCCCCTGAGGTTTTTCGGAAATAGTCCAAAAACGGCGGCGCGCAGCGCCGCCAAATTTTGGGTACCTTATGGGGCAAACCTTGCGCATCTTTTGATAAAAAAATTTGACCGGGTCATGTCAGGTCACGGAGTTATGACGTCACAAAGGGAACAGCCTCCGGCCGGATTTTCACAAACTGAGTGCCAACGCCCGAGGTTTC